GGTTGGTAGTCGCTGGTGATAGTGGTGGAATTGGTGTCATGGTGGTAATGTTAGAAGTGATGTCATGGTGGTGGTGGAATTGATGTCATGGTAGTTGTGGTGGTAATGGTAGAAGTGGTGGTGATGGTGGGGGCGATTGTGCTGGAGGAGGATGTGGTAGAAATGATGTTCTTGTGGGTGTTAAAGAGGTGCTAATTGTGGTTGTGGTGAACATGTGGTGGTGGTGAATGTGTGTGGTGTTTTAGATGGCATGAGGCTGGTGTGTCCTGACCTGTACCTCACACAAGTTTTTATTGTTATTATCTTGACTGGACTGGCGGGTTTTTGTGTGGCCGGGTCTGTGGGCCTGTCGACCAGTGTTGCAACTGCTGGCCCACAGTGCTGCCACTCTCCCACCACCCGCCTTGACACAGCCTGCTTCATTTGTCTCCAAAACTGGTTTAATATTGGGCAGAAAAACTGGTTTTATTTTTACAGGGAAAACACGTTTACTCGGGTAGAAAACAATTTAATGCCTATTTGATGAGAACTTTATTTGCCATGTTTGTAGATTGACTGACTTGAAGTGGGATTTGGATAAAAAATAATAGTTCAAGGTTTATGTACCGATGATGTTTACATTTTGATAAAGGCGTTTGAAGAAGTGGCAAATTATTTTAAGTTCATAGGAAAGGTGGCAATACCTGCACTTGTGATCATGTGGAAGTACGGTACACAATTAAGCCCTTGTATTTTTATTGAGATGTTGGTATGCTGTTCTGGGTTAACACATTAACATTTACAATCTAGACAGTGATCCCTCTGTGTGTGTGTGTGTGTGTGTGATAATCACCTCTCGATCTGTGGCCTTTTGCCGACACAACCACCCAAAACTTAAAATAACCAGTCATGGACGACAAGAAGTTTATAAGTAAAAACAATAAAATAAATCCTAGCAAAATTCAGTAACCATACTAGTAAAATTCATTTACTTTTTTTCTGTTCAATATCAGTTTGGATTGTATGTGTTTTAATCTTTATGACCAGTAATGCAATAACTGTAGGCTACGTAAATAAGCAAGACAATGAAAATGTGTAGAGCAGGTGGCAGGCCAAGGTTGTGGGTAAGACCAGTACCTCCTGTCAACTGGCCTCTGCTGCCTGATAAATGCTCCTGCTCCACCACTTAAATACCTGGAAAACTCTCACCCCGCCCCCCACGCTTACTTTTATGATGGGTCCACTTGCCTGAGCTCTACGTATGTGTGACTGAAGAGAAGGTTCGATTTGTCTTAGCAGAGGTTAGAGAAAAGTTGTTGGGGCTGGTCTTGTTGCCTTCCTGGGCCTGCCTCAGGTCAACTCCCTCGGGTTCTTTAATGATACCCTCTGGTGATGAACACCTGTCGGGATGTCAGCTATTTTTACATTCTAGGTTTCCTTTGTGTGTGTGTGTGTGTTAATAGTTCCAAACATAGAAGATGCACACGCACACACTCACTTTATATGTACGCTAATGGTTGAAAGTCGGGAAGATACTTGTTGGTGAGGATTTTATACAGCTGGTCTGTTAGCAAGTGTCCTGATAACCTGTAGCGTGCTAAGCATACGAGAATAACCGTTTACGAGCTGAACAAACAGCCCACGTCCAGTGCTTTATGCTGCGGCGACTCCTTCAATCCCGTTGCATGATGTTGAACCTTGGAGTGTGTGTGCGTGTTAAGACGTACAGTATATGAAGATGTACTGTGTATGTAATATATATATATAGGCTATATTGAAAAAGCCCTTAGATATTTTTAACTACTACATAATATTTTATTATGCACAAGATTAAAGTGAGGAAAGTGAGACCAAGAAACAAGTACAGTTGGGGTTGGCAGGTGTGGTGGAGGGGCGTACCTTCCCCTGGCGAGAGGAGTGTCTTACCTCAGCCTTGGGATTCCCCACAACTAGCGGCAGCGGGCGTAACCCACACAGCTTTCTCTTGATCTAGTCCCTGCTCGGTCATTATGCATAATGCGATTCAATAGCTAGCTGTAGATAATGACGTGAGTCAATGATCACGTGGTACTGAGTAGAAAGGGTAAAAACAGTAATGAAAGTGATTGGGAATATACAGTACAGTAGTACCGGCAAGTAATTTATGTTCCCAGTTGGAAAACGAGTTTTTGTACCTGTTTTTTGTTCCTTCAGATAATGTGACAGTAGCAGTTCATGAGTAAGATGAGGCATTAAAGGTGAAAGTGTCTTATAAGTAAAATTGCTCATTTAAATTAAATCTGTGATCAGATTCGATGTCTTCTTATGCCCTAAGATTTTGGGTTCAGCGCTGGCTGTTGGAGGAATACATGACAGAACTTTGTGCTGTCCCAGATAGTAAAGTGATGATAATATGTGGTTATGGAATTTTGCTCTCGCCTATTGTAATAAAGATAGTACTGTAGCCTTATTGTGAGATTGTTGATAGCAACTGGTGATACCTTGACTTAGAGAGTTAAATGTGATGATTCTAATTGAGGTAACGGAAAAGTGGGAAGGTTTACAAAGTGCTCACGGATGGAAAAGACACTGTTAGCTGTAGTGAGCTGGCCATTTTGGATGTTGCCAACTGTGAGACCCGTTGGTGGTGGCCCTCCTTACCTCTACAGTTTAGGCACTCATTTCCAACCGAAATAGTGTTTTTACACCTAAATACTGGTTTTCACCATGAAGTATGGCCCTAAATCTATGGAATATGGTAGAAATGCATAATTAGAGCATTTACTGTGCCTAACAAACTATATTTTGGACACGTCTACAAACCTAAGCTTTTCAGACCCTAGCTATGTTTGTGAACTCTAATGTGAATTCCCGTTGCCCAATGTTGGAAAATTTTCTTGTCAGTAGAATTTCTGGAATCCACATAGTACTTCGTATTAACTGTGCCCTGTTTTATTTATACAGTATATATATGTATACCTGTATAATACAGTCATTCATAAATAACACTTGTATAACACGTCAAGCTCTAACTGAGAGAGACATTTAAATTTGAAGTTAATCTTATACAGACACCAAAACTGGTTCATGAATTGTCTGGGAGCTAATGCTAGGTGGGTATATTTATGTAGCAGCCATCTCACATACGCATACTATACTTGAATATTTTTAATTTAGAAAGGAATGACTAATTTTTTAGACTACTGTATGCCAAGGTCAGGATCAGTTACAACTATGTTAACTAGTATGATACTAACTGAAATAAGCTGAGTAAAAGCTGCTAGATTATGGTACTGTAAATACAAATGCAATAAAGGTAAGGTTTGGAAGATGTTATCTATCTATCTACCGTACCTGTCAATTTCCTCCCTTCCAAGTTAGATGAATTGGGATATATTGAAGACCTCAACTCTACCGTACTGTTTAATCTTTATAACTTGACCCCCAAAATTGTAATAGTTATACTGTACATGGGTGCATATCCTCTTCTTAGCATGTTCCATACCACATGGCCATACACAGTTTGGTTGTTTTCACACAGTGAACTCAGGGCTCGACTAAATATCAAAACTCGACTCTTAACACCAAAAGTTTAATACGGTGGAGTTAAAAATATCTGCATTAAAATTGTTAAGCAGTTGAGGTTAACTTAGCACTAGGCATTGTTTGCTTGTGACTTTTTATTTTACCATAAAGCTGTTGAATTGTTTATGTTCAAACATTGCACTAAACTGCATTATAATTAGAAAACATACAGTATTATTTTTTATTGAACTGCAAGTTTAGGACCAAAATACCTATGGTAGTACCGGTATCTTAAAATTTATGTTTAGCTTGGGTATATGAATAGTCAGGTTTCTAATTCTTAAGAGCTGTCACATCAGTTTAGTTAACAGAATGTTTTAGTTGTTCCGTCACCAGATATCAGTGAGGTGGTTATTTATGCCCTCAGGCCTGGTGGTTGTTGCTCCTCCTGTTCAATGTTTTCTCACTCATTGCTATAATAACAGAACAGCATTGTAACCTTTTCTACTCTTAAATATTTCTTCAAAGGTTTTTTATGTTTGTTTATGGTAGTCACGTATATTTTTGACTAACATATACAGTACCTGTATAGAAGTTAACATATGTTTAGTTTGAAGGCCAGAGTTGGATCAGAAGTGTGGGTACAGTATTAAGAGGTCCTTGGTGTATGTCGTGTTAAGTAAAAAATACCGATTCCACTAGCTTTGGGTAAAGAATACAGGTGTGTTTATAAATCAATGACTTTTGTTAAGGTATTAGTTTTTATGAGGAAGAATAATGTTAAGTTTCAGAACAGTTGGAACTAACTCAGACATCATTTAAACTGGTCAATTTGGCCAATGGCAGCCAGTTCATAATAAGAACTCGGTTCCTTGCCATCTGGCAATACACTGTACCTGTGTTTTCTTGTCTTTATCTAAGTACAAATATCGTTTTAGATTTAGTCTCCATTTTAGCTTGTTCACATTTTGGTGTACAGTACTGTATATTTTTAGTCAAGTTTAAGTTTGGTAATAGTGCATGCAAAATTATGTACTGTACCATATTCTGTGAAAAATTTTGTTACAGCCGAGAATTGCAAAATAAAAATGCCTTCCTCAAATAGTTGGAAATTAAACCTTCAGCCTCTTATAAGCGAGAAGCTGTACGTATTTTAGAGTTTGTAGGTTATCTCACCAATGATTTTTGTTCAGAATTTTAGGTTCCCATATAAATTTGGAGTACATACTATACAGTACTATAGGTATTTGTACTGTATATTTAGTGCAATTTACAAGCAAATGGATTGGACTACTTTTCACTGGTTCTCACAAGGAAACAAAACTATAAATTATGATGCATTTTTTACCTTATATAAACTGTAACAAAAGATTGCCCCGAAAAGGGTACCGCTGAATTCTTTCAAATGCAAATCTTTCATTTATAGTTTATTTGTCTTTTATATATACCGGTAGTAAATGCAGTAATTCAGTAGTTATGAATATACGAATACCACTAATGCTTTTATTTTTTTGCAGACAAGTGTGTGGTTGGAGGGTTGCGGTGGAGGAAACGTGGCCAAGGAAGTGTAACAAGTGAAGCATCATCTGGTGAAGAGGAAACTCGCACAGTCCGTGAGCGCCGACCACGCCATCACACGCCTGATCCACCCAGACGTATACTCACACGTTTGGAAAAGCAGAATAGCACTGAGGACAGCACCTCCAGCAGCAGTGGTAACTCAACACCGGATCATCGGCCGACCCGCAGACCTTATAGAAACAGCCGATTACAAAATATCAACAATACTGGGCATAGTGATACTGATATTGTAAGCATCAGTAGTAGTATTAGCAGTTCTAATAGTAGTAGCTTTAATACCAGTACAAGTGGCAGTAACACCAGTGCAAGTAGCACTAGTACCAGCAGTAGCAGCACACCAGAGCCCGAGTTACCATCCCGACCTCCGTCACGTAGGGTTGCAGCTGCAGCGGCTCTAAGACAGAAATTAGGTATCCACCGAGCTACAGGTGGTAAGAGGGGACCAACCAATAACGGTGCTACTCGACGTCCAACTCAGAGATGGCGTAGTGTATCACCGGTCACTCGCACTCCTCAGCCTTCGTCGCCATCCACAACACTTTACTCGAATAAAAACAAAAATAATAACGAAAATAATAGAAATAGTACCAATTGTGAAGAAAGTATTAGCAAAAGCCAAAAACGGAAAAATAACAGCCCAAACAGAGCATCAAATAAAAACAACAAATGTGGCACTGCAATTGAAATTCCAGTTAAAGGAGATGATTTGTTAGAATCAAGATCAGAACTTTCTCCAAAGAAAGATATCAGAAAAGAAACTGATATTACAAATGCCATTAGTTCATCTGAGGATCCTATTGTAGTTTATGAAAAGACTAATTTTCTGAATCGGACACCACCTAATAGAAGAGCTGTTGAAAATCGAAGTTCAAATAACAGAAAGCCTACATTGAATTTAAATAAGGATCTCTCGCCAAATAAAACTGTTCCATCTCAATTATTAATTAAAAAAGATTCTCCAGGGAGAGTAACAGCATCTTGTAAACCATACAAGGAAAAGGAGGAATCAGTTGATCAGACTTGCACAACACCAGAAAGCAAGTATATAAGTCCTGAGTCATCCAACACAGTTATTAAAGAAAATGTAAACAGGAAAACTTCTGCTGTTGTCCCACCAACAAGTAGTTCCATATATAATGAAGAGGTCTTTATAATAGAACCTTGTAAAGAGGAGTCTGCCAATAAAACTTCTCCAGTTAGTGCTATAAAAACTGAAGAGACCACAAGGAAACCAGTGTTGAAAAATTTCAAGAAAGAGTTGGTGACAAAGGAACCCCCAGTTCTTTCAAACTCTTCCAAAGACGAGAATTCCAAGAGAACATTTCCTTCTGGTGCTTTAGTTACAGCTGGTGAAACTCCTAGAAATGAAAACCAGTGCAAATCAGAAGCAGCTGTAGAAATCTTATTAGATTCTGAGAAGGGCAAATTTGCTTGTGAAAAACTTCCTGAAACTAAAGAGGAAAAAACACCTGCCAAAGTAGAATTGGAGAAGCCTTCTGCTTCATTAGAAGGAAAGAACAGCTCAACAGACAGCACTAATGTTTTTCCATGTACCTGCAGCAAAGCTTCCATCAGTGATACCCTTGTAACTACCACAGCTGTAGTTAGGAAGCCTAGTTTAAGTGAGGATGATGTTGTGATTGAAGCCACGAGTGTTATACGAACAGCAGGTGATAGTTCAAGTGCAATTGTTAGCCAGCATGACAAAAGTGTTAGGAGTGCCATTTTGGGCCCGAGTGCCAACAGTGTTGTGGTAAGCAGCAACACAGCTGCAGTGTGTGTCGGAACCACCACAGTGAGTACAGTGTCGACTGTGACTAGTGTGACTAGTGTCTCTTTAGTGCCAGGCACAACTAGTGCCATTGTTAATTCATCCAATGTCAGTGGAGTTACTTGGTCTTCAGAAAGCAGCAAGGTGAACTCTAGTTGTAATAGTAGCACCAATTGCAATACCAGTAGTAGCCGTGGGTGTGCAGAGGTGGCGGGCGTGGTGAGCGGGCGGGCAGTCACCATCACAGCAACCAGCGGGCCAGGCCCCACGTGCAGTTCCCGTGTGGCATCCCCACCATCTGTAAGCATCACGGCAGTGGTGCGCAGCCCTGTCCACCTCCAGCCCGCCAACCCCGACCCTGCCCATCTTGCCCCGCACCATCATGACGGGGCAGCCCACACATCCCTGCACCACCAGCATCAGGCGGCTCATCCTTATCATCACCAACAGCATCACCAACTCCAACAACATCAGTCACAGCAGCTTAGCACCCCGTCAACAACCACCAGGATGGACCATTGTGATGGCTCAAGTGACTCAGGTGTAAGTGTAACCGAGCGTTCTGTGTCACGCTCATCAGTGCTTAGTGATGACAGGTCATCTTCAGCAGAAGTAAAGCCTAACACACCTACACCTGCAGCTGGTCAAACTAAGACATCACAGGCATCATCCTCACTCTTCATAGACCGTAAGGAACCTGTTCGCGTCTGGCGTGATCCATCACTTGTGTCTCAGTCAGAGCACACAGTGCGTCACATTCATTCAGTGCAGCACACCAGCATGTCACAGCACTATCCAGGGGTGCCGCCCCCTCATCTTGCAGCTCCGAATGGGGGCTCTGGTGGCTCCCACGGACCTGCTCACCATGGCTCTCATGGCCAGCCTCCTGTATCCATGCCTCCTGGCTTACCCTATTCAACACACCCAGGAGCAGGTGCAGCAGGCATACCTCCACCCTTGCATCTGCCTCCTGGTCTTCAACAACCTCTTGCTGGCTTGTATCCATCTCTTTCTCATGATGTATGGAAACAGCTTGCTCCAGTACCTCCACTACCACCACATCCATATGCTGGTCTCCTAACTCATCATCAAGAGGAACTAATGCAGCTGGAACGAGTTCGGGAAATTGATCGGGAGCGTGCTGAGCAGGAGAGACACCATAGGTAAGTGTAACAAGTTATTGAATGTCATATTATTGTGTTCATAGTAAAGGTTCTTTTTAAACTTTTTGGCTGGTTGAAGGCTAAAGGAGGAATGAGAAATGAGGGATGCAGCATATTATGGATCTCATCTCAACATGTTTGTTTGAATTTAAAACTGACAGAAGAAAGTTGAAGTTACTACAGAGTGTTTTCATTGTTGTTGAAGTTGGCATTTGAAAAGGGCAACAACAGCAAAAGCTGTATTGCCCGTGTGGAATATTTTGTAAATAATGAAAAATTGTGGATTGATAAAACACAATTGATGGAAATTAAAAAATTTACATTGATCAAGAGAATTTTACATGACTTAGTAAGAGCAAGGGTGTTTGTATTCACTGGTAAGTAGTGTGAAATATAATTAGATAATAGAAGATCAGCCGTTTACAACTTTGTACATATTCTATGATGTAACAGTAATATGCAGTAAAAATAACATTGCAACAGTAGATTGAGATGTAGAGATTAGGCATATAAAATAGATTTTCTGAGAAGTGTGTGTGGAATTTGTCAAGTGGTGAAGTTAGGATTTAGAAGCTTTGGTACTCTAAAGAAATTATGCTACTATTGTATTGTCAGGGAAGTGGTTCATGAAGCCAAGGGTGACATGGATGTATGGAGAACACATTAGCTAGGTGAAAGATGATTTCTGGGCCTCCAGTTGCTGTCCTTAAGTCATGTATAGATACCAACCTTATTCATTGTCAGAACTCTCAACCCTTGGCATATTGATAAATGCAAAGCTATCAAGAACACTAGAACTGCTAGTTTTCAAAGCACATGTCTTAATGTGGGTTACATATTGTATTTGATAAACTACCGTACATTGTGAGGTAAAGTACTTCAATTTTTTATTACAGTACTTTAATCACACTCCATTTCAGTACTATCTGATATACTGTACTGTATTTACCCTCTTTTCTTTTGTTTGGGTGTAACAAGTAGTACTGTACAGACACTTCAAACAAAAGGGTTAAATGACAGAGGAGAGTTGTGCAAGGCAAGTTAGAAATGTGTACAAATACATACAGATTTCTCATCAGAGCAACATTAATAGAATGCTTGGCATCTACTGTACTGTACAGTAGCTATATGTTTTGTACAGGAAGTTGTATCATTGTTTAAGTATTGTTTATATTCACACACACACACCATACATTTTTATCAGTCATTAATGTTGTGGTCTTTTTTCTCCTGAACAACTTAAACAGTTGACTACAAGCATTACTGATGCAGGATGATGTAAATCTTTTTCACTAAATTATTCTTGAGTAAGCTGTTTCATAAACTGTACTGTATATATAGCTCAACCATCGTGAAACAACATGCAAGTTTCTCATACCACACATATTTCTTTGTTTTGAAAATTCGTTTTAGTTTTTAAAATATTGTTGTTTATTCATCTCTATTGCTTTTGTTTTTTTGTAACTACAGTATATCGGAAAATAGATTTTTTAATTCATATACCTAATTGAGGTGAGTGAAAATGTTCTTTGTACCTTTAAGCTTCATGCTTATTCCCTGTGACACTTCTTAATCACCAAAGCTCTTACATGGACTTCTTACACATCCTTTTTACAGAGCTAGTCTCAGGCTGTAGATTATTAGTTACTTGGCTTCACCTTAAAAAGGGACGGGAGATAGTGCACGATCACCCCTTAATCCTCGCACATCTCCCTACCAAATTTCAGATTTTATCTTACAAAAATGTGGAAATGCGTAAGGAACACACACACACACACACACACACACACACTGTGTGTGTGTATCAGTTTATCAATCGGTCACAATTTCACAATTTAAATGAAGAATAACTGAAACATCTCTTACATGTACAAACCGTTTACTTTCACTTCAACTTCAGAGTACCTGTCCCAACTCCAGTACAACATATCAAAATAACTTACTATTCTTGGTCTTTCTCAAAATATTAACTGATGAACTCAATTTACTATTATTCATATACAGCAAATGAAATTTTACATTCTTTGGTGTTATCGTGGAATAACACAACTCCACCTGACACTCATTCTATCATCTGCTCCATCCATAAACATAAAACAATTATCTTTAGGCTGTATATATTTCACAATCCTTTGTCTTACTCTCACATAAACACTAGTTTTTATAATGTAACTTTAATGCCATTTTGTAATCTCTTGCAAACTGTTTTTCAACTTATGCCACACCCATGTAATATTGTCTATTACAGTATATTTACCCCTATTTTTTGTGGGATGGACAAAAGGGTACAAAAACTTCAAAGAAAGGGGAAAATTATAGAGAATCGTGCAAGATACTGAGACTACAAGTAGAAAGTACTACATAAGATTTCTCACCACTTTATTTAGAAGTCTCCACAACAGACAAATATCATGAAGTCTACATATTCCTCACTAGTTAATACATCATTTTAACTAACATTATTAAGGCTGCCATAATATACCTTGCCAACTGTGTGGACCAACTTGTGTGTTGACAATTCTAGTATCATTCAGTCTCAGTCATTGTACCTTTAAACAGTTCTACAAACCATGTATTTACAGTAGTATTCCATTTTTTTCACAGTTATACCCACTAATTAGCCACACCCATTCTGTAGATCTATATCCCATTTAAGTACCTTTACTCACTCCAGTTAGCCATACCCATTACCATAGTCATAACTGCCTTATATCCTTATTAAGTTTTGTTGCCTTTTTTTATTCCTCTGCAAATTTTCATACAGTACAGGATTTAGATTTACTCCTTAATTACTTACACATCATTATTCAAACTGCTGTGTGCAGGTCTAGTACACTAATATCCCCATCTCTTACACTGATCAAAATTAATAATTTCCCATTAATTTGTACAGTACACCGAGCTAGAGTTTATAGTCATATCAGACATTCTATTTACTGATACAGGTTATTAGTTCATTTTCAACTAGAGAAACCAGTACAGTAATGGATGTTGGTTCATCTCTCTCAAGTTTACAGCATGACTTGCTTGCATGAAAGTGAAAAATGTGGGTAAAGGATGAGTGTTGCCTCAACATTTACAGGTGAATGTCAGAAATGCTTGGAGAAAAGTGTAAAGAAAATACAGAAAAAAACAATATAAAAAAACAATAATAATGTCATGGTAGACGTAGAATATAGATGAATTGGAAAACTGTAGGTTTGGAGTGAAGGTTAGAGATGTGTGGCAACAACCAAATGATGCAACAGAAAAGGAGAATGGTGAGCTATCAGTAAGATTTTTCTTCCAGTGTTATCAGGAGTTATGAGTTGAACCAGTATACAGTACACTGCCATGTACAACTTTACTTTTTGAATATTAAAGTTGTCACTTTCAAATATCTGTTTAATTTTTCGTTTTTGTGTATGTTGCCCAACATTTATTTCTTATATATTTACCCCTTCCTTATTTAGTTGGGGGCATACAGTGTTATCCATGTCCATTCATCTGTCTGTCTCTCTTCATTGGTTCTTACATGAATATAGTATTAATTTTGCCTTGAACTTGATTTTCATGAATGTTAGAGTAAATTTGAAACTATATTGTATGTTGTCTTCTTCTATGATTTATGATCCCATGGTCATTGATTTATATTTAATAGCTAGATGGCGTGTAAAATAATTAGCATTAAATTTGTCTTTGAGCATAAAATGTTCATAAAAGTTTACTCATTACTTAAATTTGTTAGTGTTTGCATTTATGGGTTATATATGACTTGTTTACTTAGAAAGGCTTTGCAGGTGGTCATTAGTGTCTCTTCACCAACTGTGGAACTCGTATATCAATCCTGAGTGAATTTTTAAATTGAGCTTTAAGATTAAATATTTACACTGGTCAGTCAGTTTTGAATACATTTATACAGTACTGTATCCCCTTGTTGACTTAGAAAATATGTAAGGACGTCCTATCATTGGTCTGTGCAATAACTACGGAGGATCTTAAACTAATTGCAACTTAGAGTTTAATATTTATAAATGTTTGTGGCGGTCTGCGCATTTTGAAATTACCGGTAATTATGCCTGCCCCCCTAGTGAACATTGTTGATGGAAGCATTCATTGCCGTCTGTGATACTCAGATTAATATTATTTGACTTTTTACCTTATTGTTAAAAGTCAATGTGTTTTTGGGTACTGGTACAATACTTTTCATATGATTTTTATATAAAACCTGCTTCAGAAAAAGGGGAAAAACCTTTGAACAACAGTATCAAGAGGCCCATCAGGTCCTATTATCCATTTGGGATGGCAGTTACAGTAGCTACTTTCAAAAGACACAAGTCTGAAAGGGGTAACACTTGGGAAATTTTCCTGCATAGTTCAACAAAATTCACAGCTGCCATCTTGGATGGTGTAGCCTGACGGCGTACTGTACTGCACTTAGTTTTTAATGAGGGCCATCCAAAGAACATCTCTGAAAATGTTCAGCAGAATTTAGCCTTCAGTTCTTGAATTGATGATGTTACAGACAGATGCCAAATCATAACAATGTAGTCCAGGTATACTAACAAAGCATTAGTTTAGGCAGCATAAATACATTAAATTAGTTTACAACCTGTGAAACTAACGATCAAATGGTTATATAATTTGCAGCTTAATTTCAAAGCGGAATTAAAATATGATATCAATTAGTCACTTCAAAGACCTCTTTCATTAACTGCACCCAAAGTATTTATTGGTTGTACTGTAGTCAGTAATATTCAGCAATTATAGTACACTCTAGGAATAAAGTCATGGACAGGTGCATGGAAACTTCACAAGTGACCTCAGGTAATGAGAATTTTTTTAACTGCACCTGATTTTTAAGGTACTGTACAGTATATAGTATTTTATTTTATTTAAAATTTAATTAAAAAAAAATATACTGTATATACATATATCATAGTTTAACTTATTAGTTTCTCATTGCCACAGGTCACTAATAAGTTCCATGCAGGAGTCCGTGACTTTACTCCTAGAGTGTA